TTGACAAAACAAGTGGAGCCTTTGAAAATTTCTAAACTTTCACTTTAGGCAACTCTTTCTAGCATATCTTTTACTTGATTTTCATTTCATAAAGAAATCAATTTAATGATACGTATCTGTTTCCTCTAGAAGAAATTACTTGCGAAAAACTAATGCTCATGAATCTAGAAAATTTCCTGCAGAAGGAAAAAAGTTCCATTCAAAACAAATATAGAAGAAAACTTAACACGTAAGAATATTTCCAGTCCAGAAATCATTTGCAGGGAACTATTTTTGATTGACACAAATAAATAAGCACTACAATGAAAAAGTATTGAAGAAACAGTAAATGGCCCATACGAAACTTAACAAAGGGAACATAATAAGCTACCATGACACTCTTCAATGCATAATTCAAAGTGCTTGAAATAAAACATAATAAAAATGATGATGTTATGACCAAGTACACTATAGTCAAGCTAAATGAGAACAACGAGCTTCGATAATGAAAGACATACCTCCACCAAATGTTCCTTGACAAATCTTTTGTGCACATCCAACGCAAATGTCTCCAAGCCCAAGTCTTTCTCTAAGACTCTTCGGACGCCCTCAAAAGTCAAAGAACTGCACATGAAAATATAACTTTATAAAGTAATCCAACCTTGGATGGGAGTTCAACATGCTCAGCCCACAAGTGCATCTAAACTAACTTTACAATTTCAACTTTCTTAAGCTTCCCTTTGAAATAATTTCAATCAAACTTTCAAGCAATGAACCACTGCAATCAAGTTACGATTGGGAAGAGAAATCTCGCCTCATGGTCGCGAAAGTTGAGCGCATTGGCTTCATCCACCAAAGCTTATTTTGAAAATTGTCACTAAGCAGATACAAAATCACTGGGAAGTTGAATTCTTAGAACTCATTTTGCAGTTTCCAGGGTTAGGGTTTAAAATAGATGAAGAAAGTCAAGTATTACCATACAAATTAGAGCAAGGAATGCTAAAGAATAAATAATTCCCGTAGCAGGAAATGACTGGAACAATACTAAGCGTTGGATTACTGAAAGGAATTCCCTGACCTACGTTCTTTTGCTTTGTTTTTCGAAAAAAAATGCGGAGATATGACAGCGCAAGGTGTTCTTTACTTCACATAAATGTACGAATTTCACCTACACCAAGCGCAAAAGCACTTATTCTGTCCGTTACGTTGTAATTCTGCGAACCCAACCGAAGCATAGAGCGTATAGAACACTCAGAAGCTTCAAAACCCTAAACAAAACAACTAAACACACCAATCCTAAGAACACAAAGCATATCAAAAACAGTTAACCACACACTTAAACACACTGGCCCTTAATTAAGTTATAATACGCATAATTAAACCCTAAAACACACGAATCAAAGTTATAAACTTTCAGTGCAAATCAATCCTAAATGAATTTATATCACACATTCTGGCATAAAAGAAAAGAAAAACCGCAAATAATATTTAAATTAAATTCATCAAAAGTACACAAATTCAGTAAGAAGAGAGAGATTACTCGGATTGTTCTTTGAAGTAAGGGACGCGTAAGCGCATAGCACTCTTAATCTGGGACTCGATATCGTGCGTCTCCTTCAGAGGGCTCTCGCCATCTTGCGCATCCTCCACCATTACTGTGCACTCCCTCTCTCTCGCAGCTTCTTCTCTGTGCGTTTTAAAACGTGGGTGGAGAGGGCCAAAGGAAAAGAGGGGAGAGGGGGGGGGGTGAGGGTGGAGAGAGTGACGGGGTTAATTTGATCTGTATACGCTCACATCGCAATACGCTGCACTTACGGTTCTACGTTTTAACCTACGGAGTCCAGGATGTGCTAATAGATATAGATGCGTACAATGGCGGAGCTATAAATTTTTCACCCGTGAGCTAGCTTAAAGATTTAAATAATTGTAAACAAAGAAACTTGATACTATATTTTTTACCGTATCAGCCAGCTTAAGAAAATTTTCATAAAGTGAGCCAGAACTTTCGTTATTCAAATAAATTCAAACTTGTACATGTCCAGGAAGAGATGGTTTGTGAACTGTATTATATAATTAAACTGAGAGAATCCAAAGCAATGACTAAATATATGACGGGTTACATTCGAAAATCAATAAAAATTACATGTAAAATTTTATTCTCTACCAAAAGTTACCTGGGCTACAGCCCAAGGTAGCCCTTAATGTCGCTCCGCCTGTGGATGCGTATTTTGTTTTGTTTTATATTTATAAATTTATTAAATTCAACGATTAAAATTTAATATGATTAAATTTAATATTATTAAAAAATTAAACTGTTTAAATTTAAATCTAACAACTAAAATTAAAAAAAAAATTCACGTGTTTCATATTTTTTTTTTTTTAGTTTTCTAGAAGTTTTAAGATGTCGGTATAATAATTTCTTTTTGGAAAATAAATATTTTTAAGTTAAAATATTTATAAAATTAAATTAAGATAGTCTACCTAATTTTTGTATTTAAATAAATTATTTTGAATTTATTGTTTAATAATTTCAAACTAAAAATTTAAGAAGAAGAGTTAAAACAGAAAAATTGTTTCTGAATTAAAATTTAAGAGTTTTAACAAAATACTTTCAGTATTGTTCACTTTTAATGAAAAATCATGTTTTTATCTTTTTTCTAGTACTATTCACTACACTTTATTTATCATTTTTCATTAAAATTAAAAAAAAATTAAATTTTTCGTTAGTTTTCTTTTAAAATTTTAGGTTTTAATGTAAGAGTGAGAGATTGGTCTAATAGTTCTTAGTTGAAATTACAAGTTTACCCTTGCCTCCAAAATCCAGCAAAGATCCGGTTGCGTTCGTCTTCGGGTTCTGATATAATACAAACGAACCAAGCACGGCAACCCAAAACTTTTGAGAGAGAGAGAGAGAGATGGGAGGACATGGAACGATAGAGGTGGCCAAGACGGTGATGGAGGTTGCCGACGTGGCGTGGACCGCCTTGGAACACGGCCGCCATCACCTCCACCACGACGACCACGAGGGGACCAAGTGTGCGGTTTCCGACGAAGAACTGGAGGCTCTGCGGGCGGAGAATCGGCGGCTGAGGAACTCCCTGGAGCAGAATCTCAAGCTGCTTCAGAACCTGTCCGAGTCGCCTGCGGTGTTGGACGATTGCCCTCCTGATGTAAGCAATTTGGGGTCGATTGTTTTCCATTGGATTCGACACCCTTATGTTGACTTTGTGTATTAGATTTCGAATTTTCATTCAAAAACTGAAATTGGCATTTGGGTTTTTTGAAATTTCAGCTGCATGCTCGGTTAGTGGCGACGGTGGAATCGAACAGCTTCTTGACTCGAATCGAAGCTCTTCAGAAGGAATCCATTGATGAATATCAGTTTCCTTTCAAGCCAGCCACAGGTACATAAATATATAGAAATATATATGTGTGTGTGTATACGCTATTTGATTCCACGTAATAATTATTGGGTTTGTTTATAATATATGTTTGGATTTTAGAAAGCGATTTGGAGAAAGCTGAAGTTCTAATCAAAGTCGACAATGAAGAACCCAGTTGGTGGGTGTGGATCACGGATGACATGATTCCGGGTAAAGTCGAGGAGAGGAGTGGGATTGACAATGAGAACTATGTTGTTGTTAGTGAGGAGCATGTGGTGGATGGGGTTGCCAATTTTATGGCTAAGTGTATTGTGTCGAACCCAAAAGCTCGGGTACGTAACCACTCAAAAGCTTTTTGCTTGATGTTTGATGCTGCTCATTTTGGTCTCATGATTTTTTTGCTTCCTTGGAATTGCAGAATTTGACGCCGGAGGAGCTGCAGAAAAGTAAGTTTTTATTCGTCTTTCTCAATTGATTCTCCATGTGCTTGTAATGTCTTAACCCAAATATGCTATAATAGGTTATGTACATGTTTCTAGATGAATCATGTTGAACCACTTAGTTTGCAATCCTATATGCTTACTGTAATTTTGATAACTAATTGCGAATTTTTGTTGTGCTTTGCGGTTAGACGATTATTGCAGAGAATGATGAATCAGATAAGCTTGGATACATAAACCAAGAAAATGGAATTGAACTTCTGTTTCTTTCCTTCAAGAAATTCGATGTCTCTAATTTCGTGTTTAGGTCACGAACTAGATACTCATCTCCAAGTCTGATCTCTGTCATTGAATGATTCTCGGGCTTGGCGTGAATATATAGTGGGCAATAGAGAATGCGTCTATTGAAACTCATCCTTGTGAATCTATAATTTGCAGTTGTAGCTAAAGCGATGGGTGGTGTCAGCAAATTGGAGAAGGTATTGGGTATTTGGCATGCGGGGAAGTTGTTCTATGCGTTGTCCACCTGGGGACTGGCTCTAGCTGGGTAAGTATTTCTTGCCCACCTACTTCCTATTGTGTTAGCAACTTAGCATTCTCTGAAGAATGTTAGCCTCGATTATCTGCAACTTCCTTGGTAATGAATGGCATAAAAATGGATGTCTTTTCCATCGGTTCTCTTGATCATTATCCAAGATATAGCATGTACATTTTCCTAGAATATTTCATACGTGTTTCGTCAAAGTATGAAAATCGTATCGAATGAGGTTGCTCGTCTCTTACTAATTTAAGAATATCATGTTGCTTTGTTGTATCACAGATTGTATAGGAGCCGTGCGGTATTAAAATTTGCCGCAATGGGGCTGCACACAAGCAGCAAAGCGATTATGAGAGCAATGTGAGGCAGGGAGCCCTACTGCCGCCAAAAACTCAGATTGGAACCGTACAATAGCGTCACGCCTGTTTATAAGAATTCCCGTCCGATGTAAATAATTGTAAATAATGCTTGATCTCGTGTTTCTGCTATGGTTTCATTGACTGATTTATTGTATTGAACCATCGATTGTTTGCACGTGTTGAATATGGCGAACCCATGCCAGATGATATGTTCACTGGAAAGAGTCGTTTTCTAAATGCTTATTGAACAATTTTCAGTGACGAATTGCAATTGCTAAAAATGAAACGGAAAAACAAGGTCAAATTTGCAGTTTCTTATGTGTCGTTGAGCATCATATAATCATTCGGGACACGCATGCACCGCTCTTTCTGGCGCGCAAATGACTACTTTAAGAAGACAAGAAGAAAGTTTAAAGAATCTTAGCAACTATCAGCTCGCCATAAGTCGTATAATCAGCCCTGCCAGATTTCTCTCCACAAAAAATGCCGCAGTTTGGCATCACAAAACACAGTGATGCACTTCGCTATGGTGGCCAAATTCTACAACAAGGCGGCGTGCAAGAATCTCGGCAAAACTGGTTCCCAGACGGCTTTCATAAAACAAACACCAAACGGATAGAACTTACTGCCCGTAAATGTTAACGAAAGCAATTTCAGTATTACGCTAGCATTTAACTGGTATAGATGATATGGAAGAACCCGAAATCAAGCATGCTTTAGAGAACTAACATTATGTCTCTGGCGTCTTTCTTTTCCTGTTGGATGTTGAGGAAGCATCTAACTGGGCTTGACCAAATACTGACCTGCAGGAAGTCCAAAGCCGCAACTCAAGAGATGAGAGAAATGACAGTAGTACAAAGCATTTCTAGGTCCAGTGAATCTTTTGCTTATTAACAAAACAATCAGTCTCACCGCCATGGAAGAGAAACATTTTGTCGCATTGATTGTCAGTGTTTGTTTCTCGTTTGAGAGAGCAAAACGTAGTGACTTATTTCTTTTCCTCCTAGATCTCTCAAACTTACTAAAAATAAAAGCAAAATAAAATGAAAACTTCCAATTATTTTTCACAAGTTTCATTACTCTCACTATAAACGAAACAAAACCCGCTGGAAAATCTCAATTACTTAACATATGTACGTAAAATTTGTGGGTATCTTCAGCTAGAGTTTCTAACTAAAACAAGAAACAGGGTAAGCTGTACTATCATTCGTATCATTATGATATGAGCTCTTCTTGTCAATCAAAGGTTTGATTAATCCACTTTTAACAGTGTAATCTACATATAGACGAGGTAACTTACCCACAAGTTGAACATTTCTTGTGATGCTTACAAAAAATGGACAAGCACACAGAACAAATGTAGCCCATGTCTATTGTCTTCTTATGGCAAAAACACCTGCAAAATTCAATCAATCAAAACATATGATACACAGAATATGCAGAGCCAAAAAAATTTCATTTGTTTTCTTGCTTCTTTTCCTATTTGCACAATAATCTAAGCACTGAAATTCAGCATGATAACGCAAAATCATTTTCCCGACCATCAGTTCAACCATGAATACGTTGGTGAAATTTTTTTCTCTACAAAAGAATTATATGATTACATCTAGTAATTTGACTAGGTCAATTATTACCAAACATCTAAATATCACTATGAATCTCTGGAAAGTGGGAACCACCATCTGAGACAAACCCTTGTACAAAAGTTATACAGATTGACCAACTAAACTACACATTCAAACAATTAATTCGCATCAATATTTTGATCTCTGTAAACCATATGAGTTTCAGAAGGATAAGCCTAGAAACTTAGAATGTATTTTTTTTTAAATATTATTTTTTCATGAAAGATCGGCATATGGGCACAACCTTCCTCTTTGCTCCCAGAAATTGGGCATTAAATCTTAAAACTGATACTAGCCTCTAAGAAAAAGGGCACTAAATCTTAAAACTGATCAGAAAATTATCAATTTTAGGTACATCTGTCGTCTTTTCTTTTCTAATAACAACCAAAATGAAGACAGTTAAATGATGAGCATAAGTAGCATACTTACGAGGCACGAAAATCCACACCGAGAGACTTAGGAAGCTGTAAAAATGCTCGAGAATGCAAATCAGTTGCAAAAACTGTCTGCATATCAGAGAAAACAACACATTAGCCCAAGAAGTTGCAACTAAACGAGAAAAAAATTGTGATTTAACACAAGATGGAAAACAGTGACACGTTGACACCCAATCCAAATCAATTTTGTTTAGCCAAGCACCAGGTAAGCAAGTGAACACAAGGTTAAGATGTATCAACATCACGAAATTTAAGTACTTAACCTACCGAGAGATACTGAAACAGTCCATTTGGTTGTTGGGGCTTCAGATACACACCACCAGTAATATATGAAGCCTGTTTCTCATCCATCAAAAGCATTCAGTAAAACTGACATAAGAATAAAGCTAATTATGTTTCAAATACTAAAAAAAGTATATATCAAAAAGACGCTCTAAAGACAAGCTACCTGCTGTAGGAAGGCAGAGTTGCTCGATCCCATATAGCAAGAATCTATAGGAACCTGCAGTGTAAGTAAATCAATGATAATTTGATATTCATGACTTTTAAGCAACTATTGGATTTTTGGAAAGTTGAATTAACTATATATTTGCTGAATGAAATGCCTAACGATGAGAGAGAAAGCAACTGGGAGAAACTGTCAAATGGTTATTTGGCCAAACAGCTACAGATATTGTTTATTGTACTCCAACAGGAGAGCAAATTTGGATTTCAAATCAGTTGATTGTATACAATCATCTTTTAGAAGAAAAATTAAAGATTGTCTATGGCAGTAAGTCAAAAATTTGTAACTTCCAAATAGCGCCTTGCCATTGGCAACCAAATATATAATTATTGAAGTACAGATTACTAGAAAGGACAATAATGATACAAATCAAAGTGCATTTGACATTGAAGAATAGTCCCAAGAAAAACATATGCTTTTGATAAACAGGAAAATGGATCAAATGCATACCATAGAACGCTGTGCAGAAAATATTGAATTCATGATTGCAACATATCTGAAAGGACATTACAAAAAAAAAAAATTCTGACGTAAGAGGTTTGATGAGAAAGATAATAAGATAAATGCATAAAGAAAATATTCAAAAGAAGAACGTACTGTTCAGGTCCATCCGATGATCCCTGCAAGCATAAAATCTGCATCGCATGCATAGTCACACTACTTAAAAGGTAACCCATTTGTGAAAGGAAAGTAAGACATGATAAGAGAAAAATAAATAACATACATCCATTTTGCAAACCTAAATGATAAAGGCTGACGAGTTTGGTTAATATATGGTGCCAAACATTGGATGCTTAGAAAATATCTAATTTTATTTTAATCCACCTCACTAACGGTGCACTAATGTAGTGATAAAATAATCAAAAGATAGAGGAATTTATATCTTTGAAGGGGAGAGTGAAGATTGTCTCACAATACGGTTCTCCTAATATCTAGAGAACAGGTACATGCTTCCAACAGCAACCATCCACCAAAAATTGCATTTAACCCATGTTTTGGTTATTAACAATTCCACTTGCAAGTATGCTGGTCATTGCACCTAATCAGCTTAGAGAATTGCATACATTCCATATTACGTAGAAATACACATCAAATTGATGGCTCATGAAACCTAAACAAGGCCATAAAAACTTAAGCTTGATTTGCAGCAAAGAAGTTATAACTATAGTATGTTATCAATGTCAAGGTATGGACACGATTATAATGCCAGTCATCCAAAACAAACAGATATTGAACAATTACACAACAAACTACAATGATACTCACGCGAGGTTGAGGATGAAGTGGCCCTGATCGAAAAACCCTCTGTATATCTGTTCATCAACTACAGTTAAGCAAACTTTGCATGGATACGCTTAGATCTTCCAACAAAACAAAACATCTCTGCTATTACGTACTAGTTCTAACACAATTCCTCATATGCAACAAGCATTACCCCTAAGTTTTTTCGGTGACTCTACTTATATACTTAAACTGCATTATCAAATGCCAATAGAACGCAAAGGGGCATTTTCAATGAGATACCAATAAACCCCAAAAATTAAACAAGCACTGGCATAAAAGGATACAACAAAGAGCCATTGATAAAGACCCAGATAGCAGAGAAGAAGAAATCCCTTCTCTCGACCCTTCTTTGAACAATTGCTCGTCTTTGATCACGAATTCCTCCAGCTTCTGCAACAAGTTAGAGCACCGCGCCGGCATTATTCTTCCATGATCAGAGCCCTGGTTCGAGTCCGAAGAAGAATCGTAGATGTAGCTGCAGGAATTGTACCCCGTGGTAATAACCACCACCTGGTTGAGTTGATTGAGCAGCAGAATCGAGTTCAGAAACGCAAGTACCTAAACGAAAACGAATTCAAATTAAATTTCAATTCGAAAGAACGAACGAAACTAAGATTGCTATGAGAAACCCAAAAGAGGAATTAGGGTTTAGGGATCACGTGGGGGAGAAACTTGGAGAACGGGAGATTGGATGAGCTCCAGAAGAAAGGGTTCGTGTCCAGCAAAACCATCAGAAGGCTCACATCGTCTGCAACCACACAATCAAACGGTTAGAGGTTGAAGATGGAACGCGTCTCTGTGAATTTCTAGAGACGGAGAGAGGAGAGAAAGACCGGCGTAGAGCTTCGAAGCGGCCGAAGCCATAGCTGAGTTGTGATGTGGGCGTTTCTGAACTGCTCGATGAGCACTGGTCAGTGATCAGAGATGTTATGTTATTGGTTAATTCCTCGCGCCGGAGCTTGCGGTGGAACGACGCCGCTAGTTAAGTTTTGGCTGAATACTTAACCAGAACTCGGCGTCCCATTTGTGCTTGAGGAACGTATATTAGGTCTCAAGTTGTTGCTATGTTCCCATAATTTAACTCAATTAAAAATTTGAGTAATAATTTCTCAACTAAAAATTTATGATCTTTGGTCTCTTAACTCATCAAAATGTGCAGTTATAGTTATTTTTATCAACTCCTTTAAAACTTTTTTTTCAAAATGAGTCACTTGTTACGCACGTGAGGCTAAATCAAAGAGAAAACATGGAAAACCAAATGAGAAAAATTGTAGCAATGGTCCTTCAACTTTAATTTAATTGGAGAAATGGTCGCTTAACTTTAATTTAATTGGAGAAATGGTCGCTTAACTTTAACTCAATTAGAGTAATGATCCCTCAACTTTAACTCAATTGTTGCGATAGCCTCTCTGACACACCCCGATCCTAGAATCCAAGCGTATTGTAACATCTCACATCGCCCATGGGAGTAATCCTTAAATGTATATTCTCATCCCTACCTAGCACGAGGCCTTTTGGGAGCTCACTAGCTTCAGGTTCCGTAGGAACTCTGAAGTTAAGCGAGAAAGAGGTCAGAGCACTCCCATGATGGGTGACCCACTGGGAAGTTGCTCGTGAGTTTCCAAAAACAAAACCGTGAGGGAATGGTAAGCCCAAAGCAGACAATATCATGCTACGGTGGTGGAACGGGCCCGGGAAGTGATCCGCCCCGGGCGGGGATGTGACAATTGGTATCATAGCCTAACCTTGGTTGTGGTGTGCTGACGAGGACGTCGGGTCCCTATGGGGGGTGGATTGTAACATCTCACATCGCCCAGATGAGTGATCCTTAAATGTATATTCTCATCCCTACCTAGCACGAGGCATTTTGAGAGCTCACTGGCTTCGGGTTCCGTAGGTACTCCGAAGTTAAGCGAGAAGGAGGCCAGAGCACTCCTAGGATGGGTGACCCACTAGGAAGTTGCTCGTGAGTTCCCAAAAATAAAACCGTGAGGGAATAGTAAGCCTAAAGCGAACAATATCGTGCTACGATGGTGAAACGGGCCCGAAAAATGATCCGCCCCGGACGGGGATGTGACACTCTCAACGATAATTTCCTCTATTAGAATTTTGTTTAGAAATTAAATAATTTAATTAGGAAAAACTCCAAATTGAGAAAATACCTTGTTTTACAAAATACTATAATCAATAGAAGGTAATTAGTGTTTGCTATCTTAAAAGTTAAGTCAACTGACAGTTTTGAAAAACTAAATATTCGTTTACACGTACTTTTAACAGGGATGAAAGCGTTTTTGGTATAATTATATAATGTTAAAAATTTGCATAGGATGAGGGAAAATCGAAAAGAAATATAATGTTAATTTTTTTTCAAGTGTTCATGTATCACGTACAGCTCCAATGTGCAATAGATGAAGAAGGCATAAATATAGGAATCCATATATTTATAAGTAATGTTTAATTGACAAACTTTTTAAATTAAATTTACAAATCATATGATGTATCAGTAATAGAAAATAAGTATGTTTAACAACACTTAATAATAATCTTCTAATTATTCATAAGCACATCATATGATTTATCAAATTTGATCTAAAAAGTTGACATTCCTAACATCCTTATATATATAAACAAAAATGAATGTATAAAAATAGAAGTAAAAAACAGAATGTAGAATGGTAATAAAAAGATAAAAGAATCAAACCACCACTGGTTTGCCCATATAGATGAACTTCATGCTCTAATGTTTCACTTCAATGACCCATCACCGCTTTTGCTTTTTTATTGTCCTTTTGCAATGTTTCTTGGAATAAAAATGCCTTTTGATGGAATAAAAGTAAGGGAACTTTCACGAAAAAAATCCGGTATTGTTCATTTTAACAAAAAATCATATTTTTACACTAAAAAATCAGTTATGATACTATTCATTTTACCTTTTATTTTGTCATTATCGTTAAAACTCAAAGTTTTCAAACTCTTTTCATTAGTTTTCTTTAAAAGTAAAAAGAGAAAGATTAAGAAAAATATCAGACCTTACCTAAAACCAACTCCAGTGGTTGGGTTAAAAATAAAATTATCGTATATTATCTTAATTTATTTTTATAGTTATTTTAGCTAGAACATATTTAAATCCATTAATAATGAAAAATCACTAAATATACTTCATTCTTACACATATGCACCACATTAAAGAACATGTAAAACCATACAACCTACCCCATTCTTAAACACAAATGCATAGGTGGATAAAAAGAAAAAAAAAGGAAGAATTGTTTGGCGAAAGGGGATTTTGTGTGGATGTTTGAACAAAGGCTTTTTTTTATTAGCACCCCACATAATATTGAATACACCCCATATTAAAATTTAATGTTAAATAACTTGTATGCCTTAATATGCAATGACTATTTCGACCTCATAAGATTATAAAAAATTTAAAATAATTCTAAATACACCCCAAATAACACATCCCAATATTATTTATCTTCTTCAACTCTCAAAACCATTCAGTCTCCATTGTACGTAGAACAAAACCCTAATCAATAAAACTACAAAGACGTTGACTGAAAAAAAATTATTCATCAGAGTTAATCCAAAACCAAATACACTTCACATTGATAATTGATATTCAATCAATTTATCCCAACTTTTGTCCCCACTTGGGCAGTTTCCATCTTTCTGAACTTGATTCCTTCAATCAAATCAATATTCCATACCAAATTAAGTAACCCATTAATTAGTCTTATTAGTTGGCTATTCGGCTCAGAGAAGCAATACAAAGGCCCTCATTTGCAAGTCTTGTTTTAAGGATATATGGTTTCCACATATTTTCGAGGAGAGCTCGGAAAGGTTGTCCCTTTCTTTTGCGTACACATCTTTTAGGTTTCACAATATTGTCCTACTTATCCTGGGTTGAAGTCCGAACAAAAAGAAATGGAGGAACTGAAGCATTGGCCTTTCCTTTAAATGTTGTGACCTCAAGTTTTTAATCAAAGCAATGTTACTCTTTAATCAACATTTGGCATGGCATGGAAGAAGAAGAAGAATAATTGTGGCTGGTTCTTGTTGGAGAAGGGCGAGGGCTAAATTTTTTTTCTTTTTTAAGATATGAAGAGTGTGAGGTATATGTAGAAAATGTGGGGTGTATGTAGGCTTGTCAATTCCTGACACGACACTACACGAAATTAACAAGTGTTCGGGTCGACACGATAACAAATCAAGTTGTTATCAGGTAACACGATAAGCACCAATTAAGAAAACAGGTTGGTTCGGGTATACATGTGGGTAACACGATACACGATAACCAAAATATTAATTTTATAATTTTATAACCCTAAAAAAATATTATAATAATTATATATATATATATATATTAAATTAAATATTAAAAATTAGTGACCATTGGATCGGGTTAAATATATATACCATTCAATTTCTTAAATGTTATACGTACAAAATAAAAAAAATCAAATCTACTTAATAAATATATATACAATTGAACTTGATGGGATACGAATTCTAATTTCAACGATCCAACCGTCAAATTTCTTTGTATATTCTTCAAGATAGCATCAGCAAAAAATCACAAAAAACAAACATTTAGAGATCAAGTAACGGGACAAAACTTTTCGACGATTATCAACGAAAAATCATGATTTAATGGTTATTTTAACTCTGATTTGGATGATTTTTTTACAGCTACACTCCTTGACCCTATATGATACAATGAATGAATTCGATATTCAATTTAAAATATTTACACTAGTGGGTTATACTTAATGAAAGTATAAATAAACTCTAAGTGTTAGTGAATCTATCGTTTTGATGGGATACACATTCTACAAAATTAATTTCAATGATCCAACCATCAAACTTGTTTGTATATGCTTCAAGATCGCATACGCCAAAAATCGCAAAAAACAAACATTCAGAGATCAAGTAACGGGACAAAACTTTTTTATGGTTATCAACAAAAAATCACGATTTAACGGTTATTTTAATCCGATTTTGATGACTTTTTACAACTACACTCTTTGACCCTATATGAATACAATGAATGAATTCGATTTTCAATTTAAAATATGAATAAACTCTTAAGTATTAGTGAACCTATCGTTTTGATAGGATATGCATTCTACGAAACTAATTTTAACGATCCAACCAACAAACATGTTTTTATATGCTTCAAGATCGCTTACGCCAAAAATTGCGAAAAAAAGCATTCAGAGTTCAAGTAACGAGACAAAACTTTTCGACGGTTATCAACGAAAAATCACGATTTAAGAGTTATTTTAACGCTGATTTTGATGATTTTTTACAACTATACTCCTTTACCCTATATGAATATAATAAATGAATTCAATCTTCAATTTCAAATATTTACACTAGTAGATACCACAAAATCTTATGTTATACTTAATGAAAGTATAAATAAACTCTAAGTGTTAGTGAATCTATCGTTTTGATGGGATACGCATTCTACGAAACTAATTTGAACGATCCAACTGTCAAACTTGTTTGTATATGCTTCAAGATTGCATACGCCAAAAATCGCAAAAAAACAAACATTCAGAGATGAAGTAACGGGACAAAACTTTTCGACGGTTATCAACGAAAAATCACGATTTAACGGTTATTTTAACTCTGATTTTGATGATTTTTTATAGCTACACTCCTTGACTCTATATGAATACAATGAATGAATTTGATCTTCAATTTAAAATATTTACACTAGTGGATACCACAAAATTTTATGTCATGATCATCAATGAAAATTGAGGATTTTGTAAAAGGAATAACATGCAAGCTTTGAGTTTCATTGGCAATGTTTAAAATTTTGAGAAAAGCTTCACAACCTTGAAAACAAAAACTCTTTCATTTTGCATATCCTTGCACATTTAATATTTTGTAATAGACTAATAGTGTATGAATGCTTGTTTATTAGGCTCTTATTTTCGAGTGTAGATGTTGTACTTAAACGACAAATGTGTTTTAATGTTTTCAAGTAATATTTATGTGGAAATGTGTGTTATATGCAAATTTAAGAAAAAAAAATATTT